GGTTGTTATCTATAGATAAGTACTTATTGCCATTGCAGGCTTTTGATTTGTGGTTACCAAAGGCTCAAGGGTAGGTTCTTTACTATCTAACAGTCTAATTTAACACTTAGTATGCTATTTCAAATACAATCTAAAGGTTTTTTTTCTCCCTTCTTTTTCTTCCTACTCCATTCTTTATATATTAGGTGTCATATTCTGTACTCTTTGTGTGCCTCTTGACTGACTTTAGGGGTAGTTAATTTAATTTTGCATTTGTTTAGTAATTAATTGGTCTACCTCCTTTACTGTGGTTTTATTTTCTCTCTCTGGTGACAGCTATTTAGCCTTAGGAACACTTCCATATATAGCAGCCCCTCAAAAATACACTGCAGAGATGGGTTTTGAGAGGTAAATTCTCTCAACTTTTGCTTATCTGGAAATTGTTTAATCCCTGCTTCAAATTTAAATAACAGTCTTGTCAAATATGTTATTCTTGGTTTGAGGCCCCTCTGTCTCATTGCATTAAATATATCATGCCACTCCCTTCTGGCCTGTAAGTTTTGTGCTGAAAAACCCAATGGACTTTCCTTCATAGGTCATCTTTTTTTTCTCTGGCTGCTTTTAATAGTCTGTCCTTGTCCTTGATCTTTGCCATTTTAATTATTGTATGCCTTGGTATTGTCTTCCTAGAGTCCCTTGTGTTGGGAGATCTGTGCACTTCCATGGCCTGAAAGACAATTTCCTTCACAGATTCAGGAAATTCTCAGCAATTATTTAATCAAAGACACTTTCTATTTCTTTTTCTCTCTCTTCTCCTTCTGGTAACACTATAATATGAATATTGTTCCATTTGGATTTGTCACACAGTTCTCTTAATATTCTTTCATTCCTAGAGATCTTTTTTTGTCTCTGTGCCTCAGCTTCTTTGTTTTTCTGTTCTCTAATTTCTATTTCATTTACTGTCTCCTAATCTGCCTTTAATTCCCCCCATTGTATGTTTCATTTTGGAAACTGTATTTTTCAAAGTTTCTTTCTCTTTCTTGAATTCCTCCCTGAGGTCTTGAATAGTTTTCTGTAGCTCCATGAGCATGTGTATGATTTTTATTTTGAAATCCTTATGAGGAAGATTGATGATTTCAGTTTCAGTTGGCCCTCTTTCTCATGTTTGTGGGACTTTGGTTTGTACCAGGTTCTTCTGACATTTCATATTTGTAATGAATAATATGGAACAATAACTTTGTGTGGTGATGCCCTCTAGTGCCCAGAAGCTCTACTCTCTAGAGCTGCTCAGCATCTGGAGCAATGGCAGGCATCCCAGATGATTGATCCTTGTGTCTGCCAGAAGGAAATAACTCTTTCCTGCTTTCCGGCTGCAGTGCCTGCCTCCACTGCCAGGGCCAGTGGGCTGAATGTGCAGGGAGGAGCTTCTATGCTATGCCCCTGTAGCTGCTGTAGGCAGTGCTGCCATCTGATTGGCCTGGCACAATGGCAAGGACAGCAGTTTTTCGCACTGGTGCTGGCCAGGAGGAAGGAGCAGGAGGCTGTGTATCATTGGGGGGTGCCTCGGGGCTGCATTGCATTGCCAGCCAGGGGGACGGAGCATGTGAAGCTCCTGAAAGTTCCCAATCTGGGCTGCATGCACTGGGACTATTTTGTCCACCTGTCCTTTCTCCTGAGCAGTAAGCTCTGTGAAATCCTTGCCCCTTTAGCAGCCCTCTCACTACTGGGAAGTCTTTCAAAGTGCATGCCTTTCTTTTGCCCCACAGCGGCTGGTTGTGGGTACCTTTCTCCACAAGTGGCTAGAATCTCAGTCTTTCCAAGTATTCTGTCTGTGTTAGCTTTCCAATCCCACTAATCTTCAGAGCACCATATAAGGTAGGTTCATGCTCCCAGAGCAGATCTCCAGGGCTGTGTGTTTAGCAGTCTTAGGCCTCTACTCCCTCCCCACTCCATTTCTCTTCCTCTTGATGGTGAGCTGTGTTGGGGGAAGGTCTAGGGTCCTGCCAGATTTCAGCTTTGCTACTTTACCTTTTCCATAAGGTCATCTCTTTTCCCCATATGTAGGCAGTCTGTTACAGTCTTCTTTCCTGTCACTCTTTAAAGATTAGTTGTATTTGCTGTATTTTCATATTGTATGTGTTTTTTGGGAGGAGGTTTCTGTCTCACTTCTCATGCTTCCATCTTTAAGCCTCTCTTGTGTATGATTTTTTTTAAGGGTTGTTGAATGCAGTTTGCTAGTATTTTGGTTGAAGTTTTTTAGATATTTGTTCATTAGGGTTATTGGCCTGTAGTTTTCTTTTCTTGTGGTATATTTGTCTGGCTTTGGTGTCAGGGTAATGCTGATTTTATAATATGAGTTTGGAAGTATTCCCTTTTCTTCAATTTTTAAAAGCTTTAGAACAATTGGCACTAATTATTTAAATGTTTGTAGAATTTACCTGTGAAGACATCTGGTCATGAGCTTTTCTTTGTTGGAAGGTGTTTGCTTACTGATTCAATTTTCTAAATACTTATAGGTCTGTTCAGACTTGCTATTTCTTCATGAATCAATTTTAGTGGATTGATGTTTCTAGGAATTTATCCATTCTTTTAGGTTGTCCTTTTATGGGGTATAAGTGTTTATAGTATTCTTTCCTAATTCTTTTTACTTCTATGGAGTTGGTTGTAATTTCTGCTCTTTAGTTTCCAATTTTATTGATTTGAGACTTCTTTCTTTTTTTCTTAGTCTAGCTAAAGGTTTGTCAATTTTATCTTTAAAAAAATCTTTATTTTTTTGTTTTTAAAATTGTTTTTCTATTCTTTGTTCATATATTTCTGCTATAATCTTTATTGTTTCCTTACATCTGCTAACTTTGGGTTTAATTTGTTTTTTTTCTATTTCCTTGAGTTGTAAAGTTAGGTTGTTTATTTAAAATGTGTTCTTTTTTAATGTAGGTGTTCATTGCTATAAACTTCCCTCATGGTACTGCTTTTGCTACATCTGTATATTCTTCAGATGTTTTAGCTACTTATCCATTTAGTTCTATTCCTAGTTTCTAGTTACTATGGATATATGTTTATTCCATTTATATTTTCAGATTTTGGGGGGTGATACTTTCTTTTTCAAAGTATGTTTTTTTAAGGAGTAGAATATGCAAATGATAAAAATTTTACAGTATTAAAGGGCAAATAGTAAACAACCAACAAAATTAACTTTTTTCCTGTTCTTCCAAGTTTTTCTCTGCAGAAACAACTACTCTTACTGTTTTCTTTTAGATCAGTAAGATCTAGAAGAAATAATGTTAGAAGCTCTTGCTTTCTCTGAGCTCATGTTTTCATATTACTGTAGCTTTGTTTTTGTTTTTGCTTTTGTTTTTATCCTCTCTGCCTGTAAGCATTTAAGAGTTGACTGTGCCACCCATGTTTCAAGGAAATAATAACAGAAACTGACTTTATTTACAATAAACAGAATCTGTTTATTGTATTTTTTTCCCTCTGTTTAAACTTTTAATTATATAAGGAGATTAGATCTCATTTCATTTTCTTATCATATGACTTCTTAGGAATATTAAATGTGTCTTGTCCTGGTTGAAGAAGATGCTTCCTTATGGGTGGTATTGATTAAAAAAGAAAAGCAGGTTATTTTAGTCTTTAATTATATCTTGTGAGTCAAGCTCTAGAGCAAGTCTCAAACTTAAGTATTTCTGAACTACTTGAGATTAAAAATGTAGATTTTTTTAAGCTCCTTTTCTTCCACCTAGTCTCTCCCCCCACCAACCCTGACATCCCTACCAGAGTTCTGTTTAGTAGACTTGGTTTTATATGGGGCCCAGGAAGATTTTGAAGGAGGAAAAAGCTGGATCATATTGGAAACACTGAACTAAAGGCTGGGAAGGAGACCAGTTCTAAGGCTATTTGAGAAAACATTAATGATTTCCAACTGCAAAATTTGTTACTTTTTGGACAATAATAATTTTCACTTTTTGTTTAGAATCTATAATGGTGAAACTTTCTTTTAGAATTAGAATTGTCAGGATATTCATTTTGAAAATTTCTTGTACTTCACTGCTGCAGAGGAAATAGCAATATGCTCTAGTGGTTGTGACCTTGTTAAGCACAGTTATGGCACAAACTGAAAACAGCAGAACAACTGAAAGAAAAATTAATGCAATGCTTTGTGGAAAACAGGTCATGGGAAACCACCGATCAAAAGGAAACTGCCCTGAAAAAAAATAAGTAGTGAAGTTAGTTCATTTTGTAAACATTAGTACATGACACGGGCTTACCCACTTCCGTAAGTTAAATCCTTTTTCAATTATCTTGTAGTTGTGTTGACTTTTGTTATATTAGGTACTTTACATAGAGGAACTATTAGCTGAGAAATAAATGTTATACAGAAATTTTTATTTTGATGACCTGGGTCAGAAAGAAGGGAGTGGCAAAAGCATAAAAAGCTGGCAGTGTATAATTTAGGGTACATTTAGTTTAGTGGTCATCAACCTGTGGACCATGGGCCAAATCTGGCACACTCTGCCTGTTTTTGTATGGCCTACTAAATTATAAGAGTTCTTTTATATTCTTGAAAGGTTGGGATAAAAAGAAAAGAATACTTTGTGACATATAAAAATTATGCAAATTTCAGATTTCAATGTCCATAAATAAAATTTTATTGGAACACAGTCAATAAAATGTAAACATGCTCCTGTGTTTACATATTGTCTATGGATGCTTTGGGGCCTCAATAGCAGAGTTGAATTGTTGCAACAGAGACTTTCATGTGGACTTGCAAAACCTAACATATTTATTATCTGACTTTTCACAGAAAAATTCTGCAGACCCTTCATTTAACTCACTCCTCTCCTAAAAATTAACATTCCTTGGAATGGAGGAAATTTAGGCATCAGAATTTCAGTCTCTTTTCATCTTCAATCCTTTTTTAGTTAAATTTCTATTTTTCTGGGAACTTTTAAATTCAGATTTTTAGTTATCCAAAAAACTTCTGAGCAGGAGACTTGTTAATTTCTTCCCATACTTTGTTACAGAAACATGTGGAATTCATTCAAAATACCTGAGACCTGTCTATCCAACCAAAACCTTCCCAAATCATTACACCATTGTCACGGTAAGTGTTTGGCTTGGTGGGTAGGCTGACAGACCCTGCACAGGTAATTGCCCATGCCAGACATGCTTAGGCAGGATTTGGCTGAGCCCTATGCCATGCAATTCACAAGCACATGTGGTAGCAGTTCTTGGTCTATGTCAGGCTGGAAAGGAGTGTCTCAGGATAAGGCCAATCCAGTGCTGTAAGGTATTAATTGGGAATAAGTGTCTCAGCACTATGCTAATTCACCTTTGTGACAGGTCAGGACAACCTCTTGGATGTGAGAAATACCATTCTCCTCTGATCTTTTGATTAGTCTCTGCTTATCTGAAGATCTTCTGGGAATGGTAGGCCCTGTATGGGGACAGCCACTTTGATGTGGGAAATGTCTTTTTTTCCTAGTATTTTCATTATATTTTACTTGGGAATGGCTTCTGTTTCATTAATGAATTTATACCTTCATACCAGCTTTATCTCTTTAGATAGAGTAGGTAAAGCAAGTGAATTCTCAATGTATAAGAAGACTAAATGAAATGACCAAAATTAACTCAAAGGAAAGTCAAGTTTTTAAATATTTATAGATTTGGAACATATCTGAAGGAGTCCTCTGTCTCAGCCTTTATTGCCAAAGGATATTGAGTCTTTACTACTTTGCATTTCATCTTTTAGAGGGAACAATAACTACAATATTTAATATTTAACCCTTAAGTAATTACATGAATATGTGTGTGTACATATTGATTTGTGTATATGTAAATCATATATATCTGTATATATATGATTTACATATATGTATATATGAGTATTTATACATATTTATGTATAAATATGCAGGTTCCATATTTGCTGATTTACCTAAACATTCGAGTTGCCCAGCTCACATGTTTGCAGCTGAGGCCTAACAAAGTGAGGACCTTAAATGGCCTCCAGGGTACTGCTGAAGTGCTCTCTAGTGTTCTAGGGACAAGCAGGCTGCAATGTACCTTATGGAGAAGATATGTATTGGGTAAGCTTCATTCAGGCATGAGTTAAGGTGAACCAACAACATATATTAAATAAAGTATCTTTAAACAGAAACATACATAAAACAATGTAATCTATTGATCAGTAGACAAAGAAGCTCACAGGGACCTAACCCTGCACTTCCTGGAAGAGCTATGGTTCAGTATTCACTAATTCAGTGTATACTGCAATTTTATAGAACATAATTACTGCAAATAATAAGAATTGACTATATACATATATACATAAATACACTTTGCATAGTATATATAAACATATGTGTGTATATGTAAATAAGGGATATATAAATGCTATTAATTTATTGTGTATATGTATGTCTCCATGTATTTATATATACATACACACACACACACACACACACACACACACACACACATCTATATATAGTGATGTTCTAAAATAATGGCCCTAAAATCTCCCTAGAAGTAGTTAACAACTGCATGGAATATCATAGGCATTCAGTGAAAATGTGTGGAATGTTTGAATGAATATGTGTGATAGGACTGAAGGATGGAGGGAAGGGACAATGGATGGAGACTTGACAATCTCCCTTCTAAAGTGTTGGTAGCATACTTAAACCTATTTAGCCAGGATATTTGATACTTTAAAGCTTTCATGTGGCAAATTTCTTGTTTTTATTGTCAGTATAACCAGTGGCTGATCATTATTGTAATACAGAAAACTAACAGTTGCTAATTACACAAGAGTTATATTAACACCATCAACACAAACCATCTGCCTAATGTCATTCATTTGCTGCTATGGATCATGGTGGAACTATAATATATATTTGCTATTTGGTTTCAGATCCAAGGGTTTTATATTTAAAAATATATGACATCTTTCCAAGTTATAGATCTATGCTATTTAAATATGTTTTATTCTTACTTATCTTAAATATTTTTTTGAAATTATCATTTTAGGGATTATATCCAGAATCACATGGCATCATTGACAATAATATGTATGATGTGAACCTTAACAAGAATTTTTCACTTTCTTCAAAAGAGAAAAATGACCCAGCTTGGTGGCTGGGGCAACCGGTATGTAATATTCTGATTATTGCACCAGAGTAACCTCCGTTTCCCAATGTGACAGCAGATCACTCTTCTCTCTCCACTTTGAGTTTTACATTATCTTTCTAATTTCCAAAGATTGTAACTTAATTTATATTTATAATTGTAATTTATATCTTTTAAATCTCTCTGATGGTTCACCTAACTGGCCTTCTGTTGAAACTTGGATGGATGTTGTATTATAAACATAGCAAGCTGGAAGTTACTCAGAAAGATTATCAGTTAATTTTTTTCCTCTTTCTGTTTTATATTTCCTTAAAAAGGAAGGAGGAACTGTATAATTCTACCAAATTGAAAAAATGATCTTTCTTATTACCTTACCATCTTTTTTATTTTTGAGGTGAATCCTTGGATAATTACTTTTTTTAACTGCTACAAAGACAGTTTAATTTAAATGAATATAATAGTTATGTTTTGCAATTTTTAATATTATTCAGTTTCTAATAAATGGCAGCATTTCTAACCAAACTAATTATTCTCTTGACTTCCACTTACCTTAAACTTTTTCTTATAGATCTGGCTGACCGCAATGTATCAAGGTTTAAAAGCTGGTACCTTCTTTTGGCCAGGATCAGATGTTGCTATAAATGGCTCCTTTCCTTCAATATATATGATGTACAACAGGTAGTAAAGCATTTACAGATATTCTCCCATCAAGGCAGGAATGAATAAGATTTTTTTTGGCGGTGGGGCACTGGGTAGTTACATTTCATTTTGATAGGAATTCTATTCTTCCAGTTATTTGGGCCCCAAATCATCAGCGATTCCTCTCTATTACATTGCTCATCTAGTCTGTCAGTAAATGCTTTTGGCTCTAATTCAAAATATATGTAGTGTATTTACATTTACTGATTTACATTTTATCACCTTCTGCATTACCACTCTGGTTTGAGCTACCGTCATGCTTTGCCTATATCACGGCAGCTGCCGTTTTACACTTTTTCCTCCTTCTATTCTTGTCTCCTGTAATCTCTTCTCAATCCACCAGGCAGAGTGATTACTCAAAAAGCAAGTCCAATTATGAGGTTCTTTTCACCACAGACTGCAGTGGCTCCCAGTTTCACTCTGAGTAAAAGCCTACGAGGCTCTGTAGGGTGATTCCAGCTGTCTTCTTTCCCACTAATCCCTGGGGACTCAGTCTGCTCCAGCCATGCTGACCTCCTCCATGGGCCTCAACACAGGCTGTTCCCTGTGCCTGAGATCACTTTCCTCCAAGTGTCTGCACAGCCTGCTCCCTAATCTCCTTCAGGTCTTTGCTCAAAAATTACTGTCTGCTTATCTTAGCCTGATCACACTAAGATTTCAAATCCTTACCACCTCCACCCCACTTTTCTCACTGAACCTTGCTGTGCTCTAGGCTTTTTTTTTTTTTTGTCTTCTGTAGTATTTATCAGCTTTTAACGCGCTATGTCATGTATCTATGTATTAGGTCTACTGTTATTATTTGTCTTCATTAGAATGCAAGCTCCAGGAAGGAAAGCATCTTTGGTTTGCTAACTGATACATTCTGTTGAAGATGAACAAATAATTTCTGGCAGTAGATTTGCAATATATATAAATATATACATAAGTGAATGAATAAAAGTAAACAAGTCAAATGAAATGGATAATAACTAATGTCTTTTTATTTAGTTGTGGGGGGGAATTGAAGGAGAGAGGGACGAGAATAAAAGAAAACAGCATACATTTAATTTATAATGAAGCAAATGTGTCTGTATATAGTCTTGAGACATGTATCCCTTTTGAATAATACTGAATCCTTTTCAGTATTTTGGTCATATAGGAACACAAAATGGAGAGCTGAAAATATCAACCCACATGCCTGAGTAGGAATATAATGGAATTATTTTTGGTTTGATTAGTTTTTGAAAATTATCTTTACTCTTCTTTTCAGTAACATCCCGTATGAAGAGAGAATTTCTACCCTGTTAAAATGGCTGGACCTGCCCAAAGCTGAAAGGTAATATCTAGTGTCAGAGAAGTGCTAGCCCAGTGGGATACTCGTGGGTATAAAATGAAATTGTTTCTTTACTTTAAATTACCATTTTTGAAAAAGGCTTGGCAATTTCCTTTTTTGTATGGGCACTTTCAGAGGTTGGTTCTTGCGAACAGTTGCCTTTTTGCTTTTGAGAATGTGACTGACACTCTGGGGCAATAGAGGTAGAGTCAGAACCAGAGAGCAGAGGTAAATACCACAGAACCATATGCGGACTGGAGGCAGAGCTGGGCATCTGGGCCTGGTTCCAGAGAAGGAGACCAGGGAGAAAGAGAACGCAACTGCCACAGATTTCTAGAACTATAAAATTTTAAATCCAACTTGTAAGTTAATTCTAAATTGATAATGTCTTTCTCTGTGTCAATTTTACCCTTAGACCCAATTTGTATACCATGTACATTGAACAGCCTGACTCTGCAGGACATAAAAGTGGACCAGTCAGTGGTGCAGTAAGTTTTTTTTTTTAATTACAGAATTAAAACCACAAATAAAATGATGTTCTTTAATTCCCAATGAATACAAATATATTTGATATATACATGAAGACCTAAAATAGTTAGCAGTCAAATGAGGATCAGGAAAGTGTCTTTAAAGTCCACATTTCCTGATCTCTACAACTGGAAGTTCTAATAGCACATCCATGAATGTTTGCTCTGAATGGGGATGTTATGAGATAATGCACTAAAGCCCTTAACAGTAAAATTCTTAATAAAGAAAGAAAAAAAAGGCAATCATTGTTATAATAGTACTATAAGGGATTAAATATTTTTCCCAATCCATGACTACTATACTTTCTTATTCACTGAAAAAAAAATAATAAAAAGTTATGTCAGTTAAAAGTTAGTCAGTTAAGCCTTAAATCAGCTCGTTATACTATCCTGATAAAGTGTATAAGACTTTGAAAAGACAAAAGAATATAAATAATAAAATAAAAGTGAACTCCAAATCACTGTTCAGAAATAACCACTGTTAATAGTGCCTTGATGTATTTCCTTTTCATGTTCTGGGCATACATGTCTACTAAGAAAAAATATATTTAAAAACAAATTCAGGTTTGTGAAATATGTGCAGGTACATACACAGTTTGGTTTTAATTATTTATGATTAGCATTGTATGTATTGTGAGTACTTTCCTTCCTATGCCATTGTTTTTTAAAAAATAATTTTTATGAATATTGAGTATGCCTTCTGAAGGATGTGGAAAAATTTATTTTTTTCCTTGTACTTAAATTGTAAGTAAATAATGTGAATAATATCCTTTTATGTCAATCTCCATTTTTAATCTAAGTGTTTTACTTAGGACAAATGCCCGGAAGTAGAATTATTAGGTCACAGGATGAGCCTCTTTTGAACTCTGGCTGTGCATTGTCACATGACCCTCCAGAACTTGTGTGACTATTCAGGCTCCTATAGACGTGTCTGTCGACTCCCCTTCCCAACAGTGGGCATTAGCACGAAAATCTTTGCAGTGGAATGTTTGCTGAAGTTGAGTATTTTTCTCAGATATTTATTGGCCAGTAGCTTATCTTCATTTGTAAGGAATATGTTTTCATTTTTTGTTTATAGAAATGTAGGGGATTCTGGTAAATGTGGTAGCATGGGCTCTGGGCTCTGTGTCCTATTTCCAAAACTAGCAATTTCAGAGAAGGAAATGTGTGTAATTTTTACTTGATTAGATAATGATTTGATTAATTAAACCTTAATTCATAAAATTCACTGAGCTGTACACTAAGATTTGTACATTTTCTTGTATATACTTCAATAAAGAAAGAAAAAGAAAAAAGTATAAACCTTAATTCATGAAGACAATCTTAACTCCAGTTTTTTTTTCCTCAGGTAATTGAAGCCTTACAGTTAGCAGATAAAACTTTTGGAATGTTGATGGAAGGCCTAAAACAGAGGAATTTAGACAATTGTGTCAATATAATCCTTTTGGCTGACCATGGTATGCTTTTGTTTTAAAATTATGTTTTATCATGGATAATATGTTATAATTTGGGGGAGCATGTAAAAGGAATAGTGATATTTTAACATCTGTGCTTCTAGACCTGGAAGCTCTTAAATAAGCAAAGAATATGTTTTGTGGCAGGCTGTGATGAATAGAAGACTAAAATTACAATTTCTCATTTAGTTATTCTGACTTTGTTACAAAAATCCATCCACCTACTTAATATTCTGTAAAAATGGAGTTAATAGTATGTAACACATGTGGTTGGGTTGTTAATCATAAAAAGTGATTTTGGGGGCTTTTTTCAGTGGGTGATTGATTCATTCATATAGATTGGCAGCAGATAACTATACTGGCTATAGTTTGTATTTTTTTTTAAGCTATGTGAATAGACTTCTATAAAATCCCTGTCATCGCACATTTACCTACTCAAGGTAAACTCTTCAATTCAGTTAAAGGATGTTGAATCACTACCACACCCTCAGCCAACTCAGAGTAATAAAATACTCATTCAGTCCACAAATGTTTCAAGTGCCTGCTCAAGGTTGATAGTTTACTAGATGCAGCATGTTCAGTGGTCCATAAAGCAGAAATGGACCTTTTGTAGATAGGGTAGTCAGAACTGTCCACTCTTGGAGGATATTCAAAGCCACTAAGCTTCCATGGCTGCAAAGGAACCAGGCATGGGTGAGAAGAGGGAAAGGATCCTGTCTGCAGAACTTTCATTTATATTTTAGGCCATCAAGATGATGAGAAACATAGTAATTTATTAAACAAAAAATTATAGAATGGTTTCTGAAAACACTGACCCATTGTTTTAAAATTAAATGGAAACATTTTAATGTGGATTCTTTAGAAGAAGTTGTAAAATATGAAAATAAAAATTTGCATGTAGACTCAAGACTCTTCAAATAAAAGGAGTTTAACTACCAAATCTATGCTGCTTATATCAATGTAAACAATACACTTAAGATCTAATTAGCTTGCTAGAGGGGATTTTCTTCTTTGAAATTTAATTGCTCTATGTTGAACAAATGGTCTGTTTATAATTCCTGTCTGCTCTTCTCTTATAAACATGGCTCTTCTCCTCCATTACCAGGATTTTCAAGGGCTGCCATTTAGACTAAAGTAATAGGGTAAATTATATGGGTTCTCAAACTTGTTTTGAGATTTGTAATGTAGAACATCTCCTATTTAATATGACCAAAGACAACCAATTGTTACTATCTACGTACATTCCACAGATATCTTTTTTTTATTATTGATTCAGGAATGGACCAGACTTACTGTGACAAGATGGAATATATGACTGATTATTTTCCCCAAATAAATTTCTACATGTATGAAGGGCCTGCCCCCCGCATCAGGACTCGTAATATACCTCATGACTTTTATAGTTGTAAGTATGAAGACACCCATATAAAAACAAAAAGGTAATACTGAAAGTGAGTAATCATAGCCCCTTGATTCTGAGAATCCAGGGATTACCAGGCCCTATCTTCTGACTTCTTGGTAAGACAGCACAGAGGCAAATGAGAAACCCCCACACTGAAGTGTAGTCAGTCTATAAAGTCTATGATAATATCTAATAGTGTTACATTAAAATATATTCTACCCCATTCTTAAGGCTAAAATAATTATTTGCTCTAAAGAAGTTTTTATTTAATTTTCCAGACCATGGTCTTTAATGTGTCAAGTTCATCTGAGCTGTTTACACTTTCCATAGTTTTTAAGAATCAATTGTAATCTGATTTTTTTTTTCTTTTGAAACAGTTAATTCTGAAGAAATTGTTAGGAACCTCAGTGTAAGTATATGGTCTCTTAGTACATATACTTAAATTAATGTAATGTCTTTAATATGGATTTGAAAAGTGTATACTTTATATTTCTGCATGTAAGCCACCACTAATTTATTTTTTAAACCCCCTGTCAGCTTTCTTTTACAGGCATATCAATCAGCTGCTTTTATCTTAGTTGTATTGTTTTGGAGTTGACGCCACCACAAGGAATTAATCTAGGGTGACAGTGGCACTGACTCCTGATTTTCTCTAAACAGTTCAAAGGGGCTGTGCCAGTGAACTTTAGGCAACATCCCTTTTCACATTTTTTGTGTGTCACTTAATATCAGAAAATAGCAAATCACTAACTTATAGAGCTTTCTGTACAGGTCCCTTTACCTCTAAAATCATCTCTTTACTCTCTAAGCATAATTGCCAATGCTTGTGATTGGTTCTCACATCCTAAATCATTAAGTAAATAAGCAGAGCAAATACCAGATACTCAGTTGAAAGCAATCTGGGTTTTTCAAAGTGGAGTTCACTATTCTGGGAGGGATCTAAAATGTTTTGTGTGGTAGTTTTAAATAGTTCTGTATTTTTATATTTTATAGTTCTATATTAAAGTATATTCACAAGTACATATCTGGGGTCTGGAATTCACATGTTTATCACTGTTTGGGATGGGGCTAGACTCATTTATAAGTGCTCTATGGGTGGTCTGCAATTACAGTAAAAACTGTTAGGATGAAATGTGAATGGTTTAAGATAAGGAGATGCTGAGTAAAGCATGGTTTCTATAACCTGATACCCACTGCAAGTCTGAAGTAGGGATGATCATCAGAGCAGAAATCTTTTGAACTCCTTTTTCTCTTACTTTTAATACTCTGGTCTTGAGTAAACACGACAGACAATGTCATCCACTGATGGAGGGGTATGTAGGCACTCTGTTCATGCTGATGGGATGAATAGTTCAGAATTTTCAACATGTGGGCTCTCTAAACCACATACTGTTTTCCTTTTTTCCACACCTTTGACCCATACAGCTGAAGCCCTGTTGGTAAGGAAAGGAAATCTCTAGTAATCCTGGTGATGTTAGATACCACATGCTTTGGAAATCCATTACATGGCATCCTAGATACAGACTGGGCCTGGAGCTACAGAACTCCGAAGAAACGGACTACCATTTCAACAAAGTATCCATTATTCCTGAGAGAATATTCCATGTAGTAGTACAATATTCCCAGAAATGCTGGCTTGTGGGCCTATATTGAGCTTACATTGCACAAACATGACCACACATGAACTGGCAACTCTTCATGTTCCACAGCATTCTGGCTGCATGACAGACAGAACAGATTAACTTTGTCTTAGATAAAAGGACCACAATCTTATCTCAAGTCTAGGGTCTTCATTCTAAATTCTCAAATGCAAAGATTAACCCTGAATTTTTCAGAAGTTGGCAGCATATCCCTAGTTATCTTTCAGACTCTCTGGCTACACACCAGCTAGGATAGTGTGACTTGTCAAATGATCTGTGGTTTTTAAGGGCACATTCTAATACTTTGTATGTTTGAAGAAGGTGTATACTCACAAGCTGTCATCATGCACTTGCTGGGAAGTTATAAAAATATTGGCTTAAGAAGGAAGTAAGGTTAAATAAATAAGAAACATAAGAAGCTGGGTTAAGATAACAAATTAGGGAAGATAAAGTCTGTCAGAAATATCTGTGCAATGAATACTTTTTCTCTTCCCCATTTCATTCTATAATTCTCCTTGATCTTCTGTTTTCTGTATTTCTTTTTAAATTGTTTTTTGTTCAATTTCATAGTGTCTCTTAGTTTTCTTTTATATATTGATCATCAGATATAGTGACACAGACTTGAAACATTTTATGAGATTATTGAGGCTTAAAACAAAGGAGAAAATGAGGAAATAGAAAAGAATTGATTTCCCCATACTTTTACCTGTATTTTTTTCCTCTTGTTTCTCAAAAAGTTCACAAGAGAAGAAGTTCCTTTGTAGCTCTATTTCTCATTTCCTCAGTTTTTTAACATGAATAGATTTAATGTGACTTGCATTTTTAGTTTTAAAACATGCCAGCTACAATGATTCTCTACTGATGTCAAAATCTGTCAAGCTATATACTAAGATTTCTGCATTTCACTATACATACTGCAACATAAAAAATTAAAATAAAATAAAATATGCCAACCTCTTACAGCACTAATTACTAAGGAAACAAAATTTAATTCCATTTGTGAAAAATTTATGAATTTCTGTGAAAAATTTATGAATTTCTGTGCTAGGTTTCAAAAACAATTGACTTGATTTGAGAATTAAGCAAATATAGCTTATTGCAAGGGTAAATTGAATCAAATATAAAAGAATTTTTAGTACAATGGAGCTGATTTTTAAAATTTCTACTCAAATATACTGATTTTTACTCACATTTACTAAGAATGTTATGTACTTTTATATGTAACTTAAACTCTAAAGTTGTAATTGCTACTCTAAATCTAGATCTATATCTAATCTCTGTCAAAAAATGAGTGGGGTTTTATGGTGGCTTAAAATATAAATAAAAACAGAACATCAAACACAAGTCGTAATTTAAACCATATTTTTTATTGAATCCAAATATTGTTGCAACAATAAAAACAACACAATTAGGGAGTGTGGCCACTTGATAATAGTTTGAGCATTCTTATTTTATTAGCCAAGCTTGAATCCTCTGACTTTTAAAAAATGGTTGACAAATTGTCTTAGAAGATGAAATTGTTAAATTTACTTGCATGTTTTGTAAGTTTTGTGAAGAAATAACATACCTGTTTTCCAGTGCCGGAAACCTGATCAGCATTTCAAACCCTATTTGACTCCTGCTTTGCCAAAACGACTACACTATGCCAAAAATGTCAGAATCGACAAAGTTCATCTTCTGGTGGACCGACAGTGGCTGGCTGTGAGGTTTGTGTGTCTATTTACTGATCTCATAATACTTTTAATAACCATCTTTTATTAAAAATTTCCATTACTTTACCCAGCTATTGTAACCATGTACATTCTTCTGAACATGATATTCTCATATGCTATCTGGAATGTCTATATTTTCAATGACTGTTATTAGAGTGCTGATTTTAGCATCCTAAACCTCACAATATAGATGAGAGTGAAGAAGAAGGCTGAGACTGTTCATAGACTGTTCCAGAAACTGTCAGTACCAGTATGTTCTTAACCCCCATTGGGGTCTCCTTTAGGTGACACATAGGATGTAAAGATGGTATCAGTTGTCTTCTAAACTGGTAGTGTGTAACTGATTATATGGCTCTTTGAGATTTTTGCCGTCTTTGTAGATTTTATAAAAGAGCATGTTTATGGATGTGAGGCCAAGCTAATCAGGTAGGTGTAACATTTCTTTATTCTAGTTATAATTGTGATCCATGTTAATCATGAGCATTTGCAAAATACAATTGTGTTTAGAGGAAATAAGTAGCATTATTAATTACTTCATCCCAAATAACTAGTCAATTCATTGAGTTAATGAACTTTATCGAAGCTTGCTATGTGTGTGCTGGGCCCTTTTTCAGGCGTTTGGGATACAAACATGATTCCTGCCCTCCTTGTCAAATAGAGAAGACTGATCATAAGCCACAGAACAAATAAATACACACTTTCTGGTAATTTAATGTTTCCTATTTCTGTATTTTATGTCAGTGTTTCTTTCCATGTGCATAAATAATGATAAATTGAATCAGGATCATACTGGATCTTCTGGCCTTATTTATATGCTACATAATGCCAGGGGGATACAGAGGACAGTAGAAATAGTGGATGAAAATATTAAGTTTGGCTGAACGATGTGTTTAACAAAGAGACGAAAGAAGACAAGGGAGTTGGGCTCTAATACAAGTGCGTGCAGGATAAGGAACTGGAGATCGGGTAGAGCCAATTTTGTGCAAGTGGGAAACCCCAGGCCCTGCACAGCTAAGCCAGAGTATGCATTTTCACACCAGGTCACTAGATGGCACTGGTCTCTCTTCTTGGGATTTGAGTTTCATAACCCTTCGGAAGTTAGTGGGCTGCACTGTGGCTTAGGACAGCATTCTCCAGAAGATTAAAATACGTGAACAAAATTAAGCCGTACTGAAATTAAGTATATAAGGTTGTTAATAATATATGTAGGCAATATACAAATAAATGTACGTCCAAATGTAGGTAAATTCCCCAAATACATACTGTTAAGAGTAGGAGATTACAGAAGTTAGGACTTAGGCCACTGGTGCCAAATGAGAAAGACTCGTTCATCCAACATCGTGACTTCTGGGTTATAGGAGAGTCCAACTACCAGAATACCCTTGGGTATCATCCATTAATACCCACTTTCAAATTATGAGCTATCTGCATTTCAGAGCTAACAATGAGATATAAAAAGAACAGCAAACTGAAAATCCGAGACCTGGCTCTGCATCTTGCTTGTTGTGCAAACATGGATGACAAATTAATATCTGGGGTTTCATTTTCTGCATCTGTAGTGCAAGATTATCTTGGTTTTATTGTTCTCTTACTACTAGCATTCAAAGTAAACTTACATCAAAGGCAATGTTAACTAAGGAGTCTCATCTGAATAAACCCTGCGTCCCCTCTTTCTCCAAGTCCTAACACATGAGTCTCAGGCTACCTGTTTCCTAAGTGTCATTTTTAGCTATAGTGATCAGTATTTGATAACTAGATTAGATTCCTTTGTCAGTATTATAGCAATTCTCATCATTTAGCACAATCAGTTTTCCTCTTTATCATCATCACTATCACCTTTATTTTGTCTAAAAGGTGTTCGATGTTGAAGATTTGGGGAAACCCAACTATTTGAAACTATAGTTGAAGTATTGTTCCAGTGCCCTTTCAGAGAACATGAATAAATGCTTTTTATTTTATGATTGGAAATTGACAAATACATCCCAGGCACCTTTCTAAGTAAAGGAGAAGGACATGGTCCCCACCTGAAGGATCTTTGCCCAAGCTGGGAAGAAGACAGCAATTAAAATCAGGTGTAAGAACTGCTGTCCTAGGATCAAATACAAGGTATAGGAAACAAAGAGTGATTACACCCCCCAGGTGTGGATGTCGTGAAAGCCCCCAGATAGGTGTGATTTCTGCTCTGAATTTTGAAGACTCGGGGTGAGAGTGGCTGGTGCCACATGCCACAGCTCCACCCGTGAGGTTGAGCAGTCTGCGATTGGTATTGTACAGAGCGCTTAGCCCCGAAGCGGGAGTGGCAATGTGACCCTTACTCAGCTTGCCAGGCCCTGCTGGGGGCTGTATCTGCAGGAGGAAAGGGACTGCTTTCTTTGCTGGAAGGCATCCATCTGCTTGCTGAGCCTTCAGCATTGCTAAGCTGTACCTTCTCACAAGTGCTTCTTCCTCTAAATGCTCTGCCCAGAACAGTGGGACACATTTTTAAAGCCAGCATCAGCTCTGGGGCAAGGAAGGGTAGAAAGATAAAGTCAGGTTTCCAGGCAGAAAGACTAGATTCCAGCTGCTGTATGAAGGACAAGTGAGTGGCAGGGAGGCCACTTAGAAGAGTAGTGACAGCGTTACAACAGCCCCAAGGAAGAGTGTGACACATCGTGGGGGATGGTAAGGCTAGTTAGGTAACACATTATCAGGAAAATATGTATGATGAACTTATGATTCAGATTTTCCAGGATAGTACTAGTTCATCACCTTCTGTCCCACATTTGTACTCATTAAAACATGTGTTTCCATTTCTATCAGTGATAAATAGTATTAAATACAATTGTGTATGTGTGTGATGTGGGAAGATTCTGAAGTTCAGAATCAGGATAAACAATTAGGAAATTTTCTTCCCCCAGAGGCAATTGAGGGTCCAGCTTAGGATGGTGGCAGTAAAAGAGGAAAGCAAGGGGAATGTGAAAGGTAGGACAGAGAAAGGCAGGAGTCGGCTACTGACTGGGTGTCAGGAAAGAAGTTTTGCTCATCTCGCATCTGTGTCGTTACCCACCTGTGGCAGAAAAACATGGCCTTGATTTCATCTTTTAATTAGACATGGAGAAGATAAAAGGGAATTTGTTCCAAAAGATTTCATATAGTACTTGGAAACTAAATTACAGATAAAATCAACTCATCTTTTCCAAATGCCAGCTTCCATTTTTCCATATATAATTTCCAGAGCCAAATTATGGCTGGAGAGCATGAACACTACAGTTAGAAAAGCACATTGCTAAATGGAAAACAATAGAAAATAGAACTTTTTCAAGCAATTTTCATCTTTTGCTTCTAATATAAAGCTATGCAATATTTACTAGTTTTCTAATTGAGTTGGGTTAGGAGTTGGAATAAAGAAAAGCTCAATTTTTATGAAAATAGAAAGATAAAGGATTGATTTTAGAAAATTTTACCAATGACTTGGTACAAAAGACCTTTTCTTTCTTTCATTAATGAGTACTGTAGCTCCAACACAGAATTTAAAACTTAATTATCCTGAATCAAAGTTTCAGTAATCTTGGGGAACCAAATATCTATGCAAAATGATAAGAATATTTTTAAACAACTTTTGCTTATGTCAACAATTTTTTTGGAGTTAACTAAGATAAAGACATGAACTGGCATTTTAGGGTAATCTAATTTAAACCCCTCATTAATAGGATTTCTCTTGCTTTTCCCCACTCTAGGCAGGACTTAGCCTCTCTTCTTCCCTCTCATGGTTAGAGTTGAGTGTGACCTGCTCAGTGTTTTGATTTGTTTTTTATTTTGTGATTTATTTTTATTTAAACAGAGTGAAAGTCAATTATGAACTTTTTTAAAAGTTGATTTTTTTTAAAGACACTAAAATCCTGTAATCAATAGAGCCTGCAAATGTAAAAACAAACAAGAACTGTGTGTGTGTGTATGTGTGTGTGTGTGTGTGTGTGTGTGTGTGTGTGTGTATTTGCCCTAGAGAGTGGGTGGTGAAGCAAAGGAGAGAAATCTCTTAAGACCAACCTTTGGAATAGGGTTTTCTTTTACCTTTAGAGACCTATAATATTGTTGCTATAAAAAAAATCTTGGTTCACTTATTACTATTTTGTTTTAAGTAGAAAACCAAATACATGTAACAATTGCTAATGCTGTTTAGTTCAAATACTAAAATATGAAAAAGTGGCAAAAGACAAATTAATTAAATCTGAAAAGTCATTCAAGTAATAGAGAAAGAGCCTATGGAAGAATATCCCCAAAGTTAGAAATAAACTGAGTTTATAGAATATACTGGCTTATCATTACCAAGTGTTATAATTAACTTTCTCTGATTATTCTTTATTCATACATTTTCATTATTTCCCTAGACATCTCTACTGTAAAACAGAAATCATATTTTATCCCAGTTCCAAAGATTTATTTTGAAAGCCTTGAAATGCTTAAAGTGGCCTATTAATTAAAGTATGCTTGATCACACAGGCATTAATTTGTAAAGGTACAGGTAAGCTTAAAAACAAATCCTGTTTTAAAATCTGTGCCTTTGTTATTATCCCTCTTTTATTTTTCCCCAATGTTTAAGTGTCAAAGGCTTTGGAATCCTATTTATAGACCCTGGAATTCTCCTTCCTTCTCTCCTACCATTCAGTTTGTTTCTCTGTGGTTATCAATTTAAGCATGAAAATAACTATATTTATGTTTTCATTGACAGAAAAATGTACTTATATAAAAGCAGAAGCTACATAAAAATTTGTTAAAACTCAGTTTGCAAAAAGGTCTCATATCAATATATTGATCACAGTGTAATAGTATAATTTCTTTATAGGAGTAAAGCATATTCATCCTGTGGAGGAGGTAACCATGGTTATAACAACGAGTTTAAGAGCATGGAGGTAATTTATTGCTTAATTTTTTAAATGAATATTTGTTTGAGCACCCACTTTGTGATAGGCAATGTGCAGGACCCTTGAATATATCTGTGAACAAAACTTAAAGATCTCTGCCCTTGTGAGGCTTCCATTCTAACATGGGGATATAGACAACTGGCGTAATAAAGAACTCTCTTATTTGATATTTTAGGGATAAGTGCTTTGGTAAATAAAGAAAAAGCAAAGCAAATAGGTAGAAATTGGGGGTGTTCTGGGGTGACGTTTGAGCAAAGTTGAAGAAGGTGAAACAATTAACCTTTCAAATACTCAGGGGACAAGTGTCCCAAGCAGAAGAAATGGCCAGTGCAAAAGCCCTAAGGTGGGCATGTGCCTGACATGCTGGGGCAACTGAGCCTTTGTAAAGCTGTTGGAAGGTTGTGAGTCTGGCTGCAGCTGACTGGAGGGGAAGGAGTGAGGTTCAGTTGGACATGTTAAGTTCAAAATATTTATTAGATGAGCAGGCAGAGATGTTATATAGGCAATTAAAGAGAGACTCTACCCAGAGATAAAAAAAAATTGGTTTTAAATATATAAAATATTTTTTAAATGTGCAATTAGATAAGATCCTCACCCAGTGAGTATAGGTTGAGAGAGCCAATCACTGAGCCCTAAGCACTTTGACTTGACTTGTTACCAGCTAAGAGACCTAGAAGTAGAGCCAATAAGGAAAGAAGAAAATGAGGACTATCTGATGTCCTGGAAGTCCAGGGAAAAAACAATTTGGAGGAGTCTGGAAGTAAAGTGTAGCCAATATTTCCCCATCGATAAAGCTTCATGATTTTTGCAACCTGGTTGTCTTTCTAGTTTCATGTGTATTACATATACCACACACACACACACAGATACCCTTTTCCAAATAGAGAAAAATGTGTTAGGCTCTCTACAAATATGGTGCCTCTTAACATTGTCATGATGAGTTATGTGGTAAATATTTGAAAAATCTCTGGAAACAAAGTACTTCTCTATTAACTGGGTTACTATCTGATAATTACTGCAAGAAAAACTTCTCCAATTCTTTGCTGATTATTTTAGGAAAACATATACCCCTGTTACCAGAAAACAATTGCTTATTTGTGTTTGATGTTTTACTTCTAGTTATTTACAGTCTAAAACAATTAGATCTGTTATAAATAATATGATGTAGTTCACACTAGTTGATTAAATGTAAATGTTTAGGTCTCTTCATCCTAAAAAGTAAAGGAGAGAGAAGTTTGAGAAATCAGTGGGTTAGTTAAGTTGTGCAAAAATGTCATGCTCAGAAATTTAAACATTTTTTGTCATGCATTAACAAATTTGAACGATGACATGCAAAGAATACATGATAGTAATTTGTATTGTCTAGATATCATAGAATTGCGCTGGCATTCATTGTCCACTGTTGCTTGTAATCTTCTAGTCTGTTGATATGAGAGGTGCTGTGGAAGCAGGTCGCTTTTCTAGAAAAAGTAAATACAATATGAAAAAGAATTTTTCATTTGATTGGTATTGGTACATCACAGGTGGAAATGATGTAAAAATTATTTTCAAATCTGAAAAGAAATTGTTATAGAGGCCTAAAATACAAACCGGAGTGCTGTTAAAGAGAAACCTGCGTCTTCCAACACCTGCTTTTGAGTTTAGATGGCATTAGTAATAGCAGTACCATTACCACCTAGGCTGTCTTTTTGGCACATGGACCCAGTTTTAAAGAGAAGACTGAAATTGAACCATTTGAAAATATTGAAGTCTATAATCTAATATGTGGTAAGTTTTTCTATGTAAATTTAACAGTAAACTGTGGGTATAATTTAAAAATATATATATATTTTGAAACTGGTGATAAATCAGATCCCAGAGATGGATGCTATGCTCTGTACTGAGAAGCCAAGAGTAGAAAAGAGGAAGAATTATTCATTATCTAGAATTACTCAGCTCTAAGAGTGAGTTATTTTTGTTTTTCAGGTAGTGATAAACATTAGATCACCAGAGACCAGCTTTTCTATTAGTTACTATACGAAATTTTAATTTAATAAAACTTAAAGAAAATTACACTTCCAGCTTTTCAAAGCAGGAGAAACCCACCTAAAAGCACAAGTGTTTTCTTGTAATTACAGAGAGAAAACTTCTGGCCTAAAAAGATGATTCTAAAAAGTCCTGTTTGGATAGACACCTGTTATTACACTCAATGTAAAAAAAAAAGAAAGTCTTAGGGACTCTAATGTACCTTTCTGCACACATGCTTACCCCAGACCATTGTATTAACAAATTGTTTGTCTAGGGAAGGCAATGAGCAAGCTGCAATTGCACCTGCAGCTTTAGGAATTCAGATATAATTATGCTCAGAATTGTCGCTCTTAATCTTTGCCAAAAGACTTGTGGTCATTGAATATGACTTCGAGAGCAGAGTATCCATTTAAAATGAATATGTTGCAGCCTTAACAACTTAAATTCTTGGTTCCCAGGCTAAATTTGTGGTTGGGGCTGCCGGCTCTTTTGGAGAAGGCTTAGGAAGAACCAGACAGAATTCCAGTTCTAGGAGGGATCAATTTGGTGGTACTCAGTTGGAGCCACTTAAAAGGCTATCTTTATAAAATAGTTGTGTATTTTGTTATGATAGAAGAAAATTAGTCAAGTTCTCTAAATGTTAAGCAGAATCACTACTTTAATTTTTAAAAACTGTCCTTGCAGAATTCTGATGCAATTATGTGAATATACTAAAAACAAGACTGTAAATTAACTTCTTTAAACTTATTTTTGCTTAAAGTATAGCTTTTTATGCTAGAAAACCATGATATGCTTAGGAACCAAAGTTATTAAGCAATGATGCTTTTCTCTGAAGGAACAGAACCAGTTCCTGAAAGTTCCCTCAGCTCACCTGTAGCAACTGTTCCTATTTCTAGAAAGACTTGTTGATGGAGGCTCCAAGGGAAGAAAGTCAGTAAACCAAACAGCATACGCAGTATGTGATTGCAATGCGATTGCACGGCAGCAGAATTTATTAAAGGAAGTGAGCAGCAGATGTTTGTTTTCTTCCATCTCCTACATAGATGTTGCTTCCCTCCAATTTAAAACTGCTTTGAACTTATTTTTTAAAACAGATCTCCTACACATTCAACCAGCACCAAACAATGGTACACATGGCAGCTTAAACCATCTTCTGAAGGTGCCTTTTTATGAGCCATCCCACACAGTGGAAGTGTCAAAGTCTTCTGTTTGTGGCTATACTGTTCCATTGCCCCCAGATGCTCTCGGTTGTTCATGCCCTGAGCTGCAAGATGTAAGTAATCACCTCCTGTATCCATGAGAATGTCAAGGAGCAAGCTAGTCTATAACCAGGGTGGCTGACAACCAGGTTCGTGTTCTAGCTGAGAGATTTATTAAAAACTGTATGTGGTTTCTCCCAACCTTATGCTGAAGTGAGAGATACATTACAAGATTAAGTATGTGAATATGTTTTGTAAACTGGAAAGCACTATTTGTAATTTGTTAATTCCCTTGTGAGCTAAATGTCCTTAGCCATTCATAACAGTAGGATATTGGAGCTCCTTTTAATATCCCTCTTGAAGCTTAAGAATCATATGGTCAGGCATGCATGGTTATTTAGAGCAGAAATGGTTGGGTGCAAGGATTGTGATGTATCACCAGACATAGCCACTAGGGCCAGTGCAGTGCAGTCTACTCCGCAAGGAGCCCAGTATTCAAAGGGGGAAGTGTTCTTTTGGGTAGGAGTGAAGAATCCTTAGCAGGCAGTGCTTGGAGGCTGGCTGACAAATGATCAGCACCAGGAAGGTCTTTTTAGTGGGTGAGGCACCAGGGCTGAGTTCAGCAGCAGGACCTCGGATCCCAGGAGACTCTCAACAAGGTGAGATTCCAGTGCTAGGAGGGAACCCCCAAAGGCAAGGAGTCAGAACAGGAGCTCAGAATGCAAGGATCAAGCCCAGCTGTGAGAATTAGAGCACAAGGGTGGGGCTGCAGTTTCAGAATGGAATTGGAGCCTGGTTATTAGGAGCCCATCAAGCTAAAATTAATGTCAAGGTGCATTTGATGTCAATTTAAAAATGTGGTTGTAGAGCTTCATGAACACCTGCAACCTCGGGTAAGAATTCTTCAGTCAGCAAAGACTTTACATTCTCTAAACCTCAAAATAACCATATAATATAAATAAATACATAACAACCCAAAAGAGTATATAAGAGACAAAAGTCCAACCAAGCTTTACGATAAAAATCAAATCCACAGTCAAGATCGGAGTAAGGGTGAGGGTTTTCTAGCGGCAAGGCACATAACCTCAGTGGGATGGCCATTGAAAATAATAATAATAAACACTACAAAGTGGGTGTATTTTAGAGATAAAGAGGATTCAGGAAAAGTAGTTCAATTGCCCACAATCACAGAAGCTTGGTCTCCCTTGCTACATATCTCAAGTTCTTCTCTGTAAAGAATGCCCTCTGCTATTTGAAGGGTTCCAGTATGAGTCTAAGCCCCACTGGGCTCAGCCTTTCTAAATCAGAACAAGACCCTCAAGTGAGTTGTACACATATTAAGGCTTAAGAAGTCCTGGGATGTTGTCTTCCCAACTTAGTAATTGATTCCAGCTCTGGTCAGTATGCTTTGCCCCTTTGTCAATTATATATTTGCAAAATCCCATACACAAAAAGTATTCCAAGAAGTAGAGGTATGTCTATATCTCTGAGCAAGTGGAAGAATTGGAATTTAAACTCAAGTTAGTCTGGCTTCTTTGTTCAGTAATGAAGCATCCATGTGATTACTGTAGAAATTATCTTGATCACCTTTTAAAATATGTGTTATTAAATTAACTTACTTTCTCCTCCCCCCACATCATCTTGCAGAATGCTTCTGTAGAACGTGTGAATCAAAAGCTAAATCTCACTCCAGATGAAAGTAAGTCAACAGAAAACATGTAAAGTCTTTGATGTTTAGACCTAACAAAACATAATATGGACTTTGGGAATTCTTCAGAATAAGCTCACAGGTGCTTTTGGACATAGATTTTACTACCAGTGTATAGAAGAAATTTAAAAAACATCCAGATCTAGTAACAAGAGCAAACACAGGGCAGTTACAATGGTTCCAGGAAAATAACAAATTCCTTGAAATGATTATGGCTCATCTGCAGTCCCCTATCCCCTTTCTTAGATGTGAACAGACCAGACTGCCTGGGTTTGAGTCCTTCTTTTACTGCTTCCTAGCTGTGTAACCTAAACCAATCACTTACCCTCTCTGTGTCTCAGACTCCTTATCTATAATCATGTAGTTGTAAAGATTAAAAGAATTAATGGAAAGAATTTAGAACAGTGTCTAGCCTGTAGCAATATTATTACCTGTTATCTTTTAAGTATTCTTGCTTTAAACTCACGAGGCCTGTTTCATCATTTATAAAATGGGCGTGCCTACTTATAAAGTTATGAAGATTAAATGAGTTAATGTATGTGTGCACTTAGAATAGTTCCTGGCACACAGAAGAGTTCAATAAATGTGTTGGTTTTTGATGATCTTACAATCTCCTGTAAATTATTTCATGGCAATGAATACCCTGTGGGCTTTTGAACTATCAATAATTGATGGATTTTTAGATTCAATAGCAAAGAGGTAAAAATTAATCAATACATTAGGATGTACTTTTTATAAAATTGCAATATCTTTCCCATGACAGCTATTAAGGTAGATCATTTTGGTTAGAAAGTATGTACTTTTGACTTAGAGGTTTAATCTCTTCAAATATGTCCTGTGAACTGTAAACTGGCTAAATTACTTATCTAAGACTTAGCTTTGTAATCTGTAGAATGGAACAATAACATCTATCTGTTAGGAGTTTTTTGAGAATTGCAAGAGGTTAAGTATGCAAAATATTTGTCAGAGTACCTGGCACATAACAAGCCACCAGAGAATGATAGTTATGCATAGAAGCATTTGCTAATTTTACAAACATTTTTATTTTATGTTATTTTTATTTTAGTAACAGCAACAGAGAAACGAAATTTGCCATTTGGGAGGCCCAGAGTAATGCAGAACAAGGAGCATTGTCTCCTTTATCACAGGGACTATATCAGTGGATATGCAAAGACTATCAGGATGCCCCTGTGGAGCTCATATACCATCCCCAAACCGGTATGTTACTGTGTCCACTGATTCACACAGGCTGGAAAATATTTGTAGTTTTCTAATATTCTAAGAGCTGAATTTTGATTTTCAGTAGAGATCCCGAATAGAGCTCACCGGCTTGTGGCTTGTAAAACAGTGTCCCAGGTATTGCTATGGGTGCAAAAGAGGAGCACATTGTGTTTTGCTAGGAGAAATTAGAAAGAGTTTACAGGACAATTGACCAATTGAGGAGACAGGTGGAAAAGAAGATTTCAAAGAGAAGTGAAATACAGAGGTGCACCATTCATTTGGTATATCCCAAGTATATGGTGGGTGCACATGGAAGGTGATGGTAACTATTATCATAAAGAGCTTTATATTTACTTGGTTATTTAACAAATATTTTACTATCTGCTGTCTACTATGGTAGGAACAAGGAACACATGCAAGAAGAGGTAATCCTTCCCTGAAGAACCTAACCTAGCACTCTAGTAAGTCAGGCTAGACTTACCTGTAGAGTGTGCTGTGTCACAGATCTCTCCAGACTGAGGTTGAGAATCCAATTGTTTAAATCTTCCTTTTTCACTGTCTGGTAAAATTCTTCTCAGTAACTGATGCTCGGACATTTGGCTACCAAAACAAAGAAAATATTAGATCCCTACCTCATACCATATACAAAATTAAATTGCTGGTGTATTTATAGACCTAGATGTGAACCACAAATCCATATTTTCTTTTGTGCATATCTTTATGACCTTGAACTAGAAAAGGATTTCTCAAGACACAAGAATAAAAAAAGTACTGAGGAAACTGATTAATTTAACTATATTAACGTTAACCTATGAAAAAAGAAAGTTATGGAAGGGATAATATACTTGCATTGCATATCGAAACAAGTGATGAGTATCCAGAATGATAATTAGGATCCAGAATAGTTAATAAATTTCCAACAATGAACAAGAGGATGACAAGCATCTTAGTTCTAAATGGGCAAAGACATGAGCCAAGAAATAGAACTTTATTAGCAATCAGAGAAATGTAAATTAAAGCAAAAATCAAAGTCTGCCAAAAACCAGTCAAAACAATCCTTCAGGGCAGGAATGGTTTTATTTAATGTATCCCTAGCACAATAGAGCTGCCCAGTAAATGCTTATTGAATGAATGCATTGGATAAATTAATCCCAACCATTTTTTTTAAAGGCTCAAAGTCAAAGCAGTACTTTCAACCAAAAAAATAAATAAATAAGCAGGAACTTGTGTTTGCAGAGAAAATGTTAGTATTTTAGATCCAACTGATGACAAACCTCAATCTACTACTATTCTTGCTAAGAGTACAGATATTCTACTTCTGTTTATAGAAAGGAAGTGATTGGTTGTATCTGGTTTATTTACCCTCATTCCAATTCAAGATTTTTGGAGAAAAATACCACATTTTCCCACTACTAATTAAAGCTTAGTGTATTTTGAAAGCCAGCTTTGCTGTTGACAATGGTTTAATTGTGATCAGTGGGCACTAATGCTGTTTCCCAATGTGGGCAAATATTTTACAGTTAACTGTGTACATATGTATGGTTAATGACAACAGCACTTTCTAAATATACACAATGTTCAGTTGTTTGTGATTTTCTTCAGCATACTATGAAACAACAATATGAAATAATTTATTCCTTAAAATAATTTCTATTTGTTTTTGTTCTTGAGAAAGGCAGTATATTCTAGGCCAGTCTTATTACTCAATTCTGTTTTGAAAAGTCCAGATACCAAGGGATTGTGTGGAGTTTAGGGAAATGTTTATGTTTTTAATTCTTTCCCCTGATGTCCTGCATTCCTGAATTTATATGAGCTTTAGCGGAAACCAAAGGCCAAGAGATTTTAAGTGGGCTCAGACTAGGAGTTTAGTACAATTCTTTTTTGTTATTGTTTTAAAACTAGCTTCTTTGTTACCAAAAGTTCCTGTCCTTTCACTGACCCCACAGAAGTACCTGTGCATTTCTCCTTCTAAGTGACAGGATGGAATTCTAGCAATTTTCTGCTTTCTAATTCAGAAATTACTCTGTTAGTATGTTGTGGTTCAAGAAAATTACACATGAGGATGTTTTGAGATTCACATTAAAATGCTGTAAATCAGCTCTGTATTCGAAAAATCAGACTTTAAATAAGCACTTTTTAGTGTATGGGCCCAGTTGGCTTTTGCCTTTAAGTTTTATGGAGCTCTTGTTTTTCTGTGGTTTTGGTGGGTTTTCTAATTTGTGTTGTTATCTCGGAAGAGTTCTGGGGAAGTAATGGTGATTTAAAATCATGGTCCTGTAGCAGCTGCTTCAAAACCATTAAAGTTGATCAGACTGTCTATGGGTTTTGCTTCTGGGCCTACTCAGTAGAAAGATCTGAACTGTTTTTTCTGTTCCTAGGTGAAAAGTTGAAAATAAGAGTAAGACTTATGATTGCTATTTAGACTATCTGCTTCATAAACTTAATATGAAATCAAAGGTCTATTTCAGAGAAAAAAAATCTAGTTCACTTTGAAAATATCTCCCTCTTTATCTATATGTGTATATACATCTCCCATATCATTGACTTTGTAAAAAGCCTTTTTTGTTTCTAAAGCTTTTTAGTTCCAGTATTAGAAATTGTGACCCACTCATGCTTTGTAAGTCTCAAAAACTAGGGACATTTTGTATACTGTAAACATTTTTGTGCTAAGAAATATTAAACATTAAATATTTTGTAATACAAATATTTTTCCCTGTAGAAAAATATCACATGACTTGAAAAATAACTTAAAATGTGCAGTTATTATGCTTAAAAAAAGGCAAGATTGTAACTGTCCAATCTTTAAGTAAGTTTTAGCTTTTATGTTCAGCCTATAGGTAGTCTATAACTTCAATAAAAATAGTTTTATCCCCTGTTCAAGTATTATTTTATCCCCACGCCATTACTAGAAATGAAAGCATTTCACTTTCCTGTCTATGCTTATCATCTGCTTCTCTTGAAGAATTTTGAGAGCTAGGGAGTTTGGATTTTATCTGAGTCTCTGAGTTCTATTTATTGTTTACCTGACTTTCTATCCCCTGGCTTAAAAACACTAAGGAACTCTGAAAAGATAGCAGCGTTGAAACTGTTCCTGTGTGTCAGGGGTGGTAGGGTGGGGGTGGGAGGGGTGGTTTACTGTGCTTCCCTCAGGAGCCCAAGAGGCAGAGGCGATGTGACCATACTTTCCCCCATCCTTCTAGAGGGCTGTCTATTGCATAATCTCACCTTTATAAAGGAGGCCACACCCTGTCTTTCCTAGTCTTATATTTGGGGTTTCAAGTTTAGTATGAAAGAAACAAGATTTTCAATTAGCAGAAAACGTGTAATTTTCTTTTAGTACTTCCATTTCCCCCAAACCAAAGTCCATGCCACTTTGAGAAAAATAGTAAAATATTTTGCCCGATTAAATTGTTGGAGCACAACTTTCACAGCTGCAGTCTCATTAAAAATGACAATAAATTCCTTAACATTTTAATAATTTTAACTGTTGAATATAGGCATTTCATTTCCCTCACATTATGGAAAATGCATCTATGGTACATTTATATATGGTACACTTCTTCAAGGAAAATTTATTCAACATGTCAAGTTTTAAAGTAAAATGATAAAGATATGTGGTGGAAACATCAGTTTACATTCTGGATGTCTACAGGTCAGACTCAGTCAGCTATCAGTACTCCTGGTTCTCCTATTTTACATCTTTCTGTACCTATTTATGCCAAGTGAAGAAAACTGGTCATTCAGAACTGTCTACTATGATATATTTTTGAAAGAATATAAACAAATGTTTTCAGCTTTCTAGTGTCTGCCATCAGGAGAGTGAAATAAATGGCGAGAGTTAAATCACCACCTCTAACAGAAATACATTCATATTTCTTGGTTTATTTCTGTTTTGGTAAACTATATCACTCAGGAGTTTCCTGAGAAAGGAAGAAGGGAAAGATACATTTTTGAGACTTTGTGTGTCTCAAAAGGTTCTTATTCTATCTATATGATTAATTGATGGTTTAGCATTAGAATATTAGAAATACCTTTTCTTCAAAATTAATGAGACATTAACTTCTGGACTGATCCACTAATGTTTTCATATATTCCCTATCCTTTTCATCCTCTTGCCTTAATTCCACTTACTGAGAGATACCTGCAACTTCATCTTATAGATCTTATTTTATATTTTATTTCTGCTGCCATATTTTTAACTCCCAAAAGTTCTTTCTGTTTTCTTTCCTTTTCTATTGCTTTCTGTTCTTTCTATATGGATGCCATGTATAAGCTCATCTCTCTGAGGAGCAAGTGTTCCTCTGCTCTCTGCATTGCCTGTTTCTTCTTGATTCCTCCCCTGACCCCCACAGAATGTCTAGTGGTCCTTGGCTGTCAGCTCATAGTTTAAAGGTTAGGCACAAAGCTACATGGCTGGGACCTGCCAGCCAATAGGCCTCTCTACAGGCTCATCAGGACAAGAACCAGCTATTCTGTTAGGAATTCCCAATTGTTTAAGTATCCTGTTTTCCTTTCAGGCTTGTTTGTTTTCCAAAGAAAGGACAGTTTTAATCTGACCCAGCATATAAAATCTGTACACTACATGAGAGCAATGAGCCTGGGAGCTTACCATTCAGTATACAGATTTTTTTTAATTCCATTGCTTTCAGTATGGTGCACCTGCTCCCTGAGGCGTCTTGTGTCCTTTAGTCTAATCATCCCTCTGGCTCAACCTCTCCAGTGAGTGAACATTCTGCCTAGCCTTTTTTTTACCCCCACAGAATGTCTAGTGGTCCTTGGCTGTCAGCTCATAGTTTAAAGGTTAGGCACAAAGCTACATGGCTGGGACCTGCCAGCCAATAGGCCTCTCTACAGGCTCATCAGGACAAGAACCAGCTATTCTGTTAGGAATTCCCAATTGTTTAAGTATCCTGTTTTCCTTTCAGGCTTGTTTGTTTTCCAAAGAAAGGACAGTTTTAATCTGACCCAGCATATAAAATCTGTACACTACATGAGAGCAATGAGCCTGGGAGCTTACCATTCAGTATACAGATTTTTTTTAATTCCATTGCTTTCAGTATGGTGCACCTGCTCCCTGAGGCGTCTTGTGTCCTTTAGTCTAATCATCCCTCTGGCTCAACCTCTCCAGTGAGTGAACATTCTGCCTAGCCTTTTTTTTACAGATTTTCAGCCTATCCTCTTATCTTCAGAACTATGCACATCTTGTTTTTAGGAGACTCCCAAGTTCTACCCTGGGGGGTTCTGCAGTAGGAGTCAGTTTTTTTTGTGCTTTCCCCAGCCATACATAGGCTTTTGATTGTCACTGTTTACATCTAAGTCGGGTTACCATAGTAGACAAATATATTTATCTAATTTCCAGCTCCTGAAAATTTCTTTTCATCCCCTATGTACTTTCATAATTACTGTTCTTGTTAGGGGCTTTCAGAAGGAAGCAAAAATAAATGTATTCAATCGAGTCGAGAAGTCTATTCAACTGCTGCCTAGTGTTTTCCAACTGGAGTGTTTTGGTATGTTAGGGGCTTCATTCTCTGGATGCTTTTCCCCAGACTTACCATTTCTTTATCTCCTGCCTGCTCTATACCTCCTCATGGTACTCTACTGCGTATGTACGTAGCACACGGTGTATGTTGCCTTTTTCTTTGTGAACTGATCTTTTACATTTTTATTTATTTATTTTTTTCCCAGCTTTATTGAGATATAACTGACATATAGCATGGTATAAGTTTAAGGCATGCAACGTGATTTGATACATGTATAGATTGTAAAATGACTTCCACATACATTTTAGATGCCATAGCTATCTAATTCTTGCTTTTGACACAATGTAGTGAATACAGGAAAGACATTGTAATTTACTATAAGCTTTTTATAAATTATATTTTTAAAGATTGTTAAGAATACATTGTGGGCAGTAGAGGGCATGTAAATCAAAATCTCTGAAATAATTAAATGAATAGCAAAACATTTACTTATGAGTAGATGTTAATCAAAATATGAAGATAATGTAATGCTGTTATCTTAAATACTTAGGTTAGGCAGCACATTTATAGGATGCCTGCTAGTGAATAAGTCATTGTATTAGTTATGAATAGAGTTGCAAAGAAAAATTATAAAAGATACACTCCTATATTTCACAATGAATGTAGCATAACTATAAATGTGTTTAAATCCCCAAATAAGTAAGCTGAGACACCTACAACTTCTTTGAATTAATTTTAGGTTAATTAGAAGTACTTGCCTAACTGAGGAATACTATCCTTAGTTCTTATGTGTATTTTAAAAATAAGATGTTTGTTTTATTTTCAATTTTTATTTGTAGGCAAAACATACATCACTACTTTAAAGTTAAATCCTGAAAAGGCTTTTGTTTTTTAGCAATAGCTCACATTATTCATCTGCTCTCAATTCACTTTTTCTTCTGCAAATATTCCTTTCCAAGGTACATTTGATTTGCCCTCCTGGTGTCCCTAACCAGAAGGGAACCACAGAGGAAAGCATTGATGAAGATGTCCATTTCCATTGCTTACGTAGACCTGATTCACTAAGAAAATAGGAAAAGGTTGAATGGAAAACATTCTAGGGAAGTTACAAACCATATAAGGTGATGGGTGAACCACAGTGGGGGAGTAATTTTTTTTCTCTCTCTCTCTTTCAACAGGGAGACACATCACCTCTTCCTCCCACTGTCCCAGACTGTCTGCGGGCTGATGTCAGGGTTTCTTCTTCTGAGAGCCAAAAATGTTCCTTCTATTTACCAGGCAAGAATATCACCCACGGCTTCCTCTATCCTCCTGGTTAGTATAACTCTTTTTTAGAGCAGCAGCTTAGAAAGCCCTCATCAGCTGGATGTGGGCATGTGCCTTAAACATATGCTCCCCACCCAAACTACCTGCTTGGGCTAAACTAGCTGCCCACGAGGCTTCCAGTGGTTGTGGGCCGGCCTGAAGCAGTGCAATGGCTATAATAAAGACTAATAAATTTTGCAGCGGGAACCACACATCAGTTCTAATCTGGCCCAGATGTTCAGAGAGTTGGGGGCAGGTTTAAGTTTAATTTTAAAACTAAAGATTCCTTGGAGAGGGACACAGGCATCTAAGAAAACATTTTTTCTGGCTACTGCCCCAGCAAAGGACTGCAGGGAGAATGCAGCTGTGCCTGTGAAAAGAAATCGGGCTGGAATTCAGGCCTCTCGTTCATGCAGTATGTCCAACAACTTTCAACTGTGGATTTAGCAGCCAAATAAACTTGGAGTTTTTTTTAGGAACATGCAAAAGCCAGTGTGTTTTTTCTAAAACTCAAATTGCTTCCCCGTACATCAGGAAATGTCATTTGCATGAACTCACCCATGAGATTTTCAGCAATTTTAGCTTCTGGGAATGGGTTTACTCTTGATATTTGGCTTCATTTTCCTGGAAACCATGACCAACAAGGTCAATTTAGAGATTTATGACTTAGAGATTCTCAGAGTTATAGTGGGAAAAAAGAAGGCTTAATGAAAAGTAGATCATGAATTTAAACTCCAAATACAGAATTAGGATAAACCAATAGATCTCATTACACTGTCTACAGACAATTGGAGCTACCACATTTATGCATACCTTAGGATAAATAGTTGCAGCATTTTATGAATACAGTTTTTTAATTGGCATGTAAAATGGTATCTGTTAAGCCATAAGATATTGGATGATATAGAAATGTTTGCATTGACAAGGAAATGAAATTAAGAACTGAACAGCTTGTCTCAAAAAGTGTTAAGCATAAAATGAAACTCCCATCTAACTCTCCACTATAAATTCTGTTTGTTAGAAATTCCATTAGATGCTCATTCGTATTTTTCTCTGAGAAGGAGGTAATGTTATGTTGGTGGCCCTCCCAAATTTCAGGGTTGATTTGAAGAGTAGAAAAGACATATAGGGGATCTGAGGACTGTGAACGGCATGTGAAATTTTAAGGAAAAATCCAACTTGTTTTTCCTTGCCTTTTAGCACCCACCCATAGGCCTTTCATTTAAGTATTATTTAAGATATCCACGTGAGTTGAAATATAAAAAGTATTATTATAAACCTTTCTAGGCTTGCAGAGTTTTAAAAACTCACAATGTTTCCATGAGACAAATGAAGCACAGAGGGACAGAACACTTCGCTTAGGAGGTTCAGCTGGTAGGCAGTGGAGGTTCTAACCCAGCTGGTCTGGTTCAAGAGTACATGGCCCACTATGCTAGACGGCACGTCCAAGAGTTATTTATAACGGCATTGTTTTGTGCACATTCAGTAACTATGCATTCTTATCAGTATTATGGTTGTTTCCCACAGCTGCTATGATAAATTGACTCAAACTTGGTGGCTTAAAGCAATAAAAACATATTCTAGAGTTTTGGATGCCCTGAGTCCAACATCAAAGTGTTGACAGGACCATTCTCCCTTTGAAGGAGAGAATCCTTCTTTACCTCTTCCAAGGTCTGGGGGTCTAGCCATTGCTTGACTTGCAACTGCATCATTTGAAATCTCTGCCTCCATCTTCACACCACCTTTTTTTCCTGAGTTTCTCCTTTTTTTTGACCCTCCCTCTCCTTATAAGGATTCCAGTCATTGGATTTAGACCCCACCCTAACTCCAGGATAACCTCATCTTGAAATGCTTAACTGAACTGCACCTGCCAAGACCCAATTTTCCTGCCTATTGAGTTCACTGGGATGGGGGTGGGGGCTGGTAGTTAGGACTTGGACATACCTTTTGAGATCACCATTCAACCCACTACAGCTATCAAATGCACAAAACTCCCCACATTATTGATAACCTCTATTGGAGAGCACTTATATGTCTGTGTTTTGACTGCTAATGATTTATAATTTTATGTAGTAGTAATTTGCCTGTTACATAGTATGTCATATTATCTCTGAAAGGTAGATTTAATAAAATTCATTTGTTTTGCAGCACACAATAGAACTTCTGATAGTCAATATGATGCTTTAATTACAAGTAATCTGGTCCCTATGTACGAAGCATTCAAATGTAAGTAGATAATTACATTATTAACTTAAAAATACCTAAGTGACTCTAAGAACTTACAAACTAAAACACATCTTGTTACTGTAACTTGTTTCTGACACCGAGTCATTTTGTTCTAATGTTTTAAACAGAAACAGGAAGAATCTCTCACATAATTTCTGAAACATCTCATGTAATGTTTTAAACGTAAGACCAGTCCGCACCTCCTCTAGTATGGTTGCTATCTATCAACAAAGAACGATGTTACAAAATCATTGACTGTATTCTCCATGCTGTGCTACCATCCCTGTGACTTATATTGTGATTGCGAATTATTAACACATTATTCTTTTATTTTTAGACATGTGGGATTATTTTCACAGTGTTCTTCTTGTAAAACATGCTATGGAAAGAAATGGAGTAAATGTGGTTAGTGGACCAGTATTTGATTATAATTATGATGGTCATTTTGATGCTCCAAATGAAATTACAGAGTAAGTAATTTGAAACCAAATGGACTTTTTTACTTAGCAACAGAGTATCATAATGGGAAGTCTCAATATTTTAAATAAAAGCTCAGTATCCTAAATATTACTGAGTAATATTTATATAGAGATGTTATTGTTGAACATTTTCAACTAGTTTATCTTAATACTTAGTGAAAGTTTTATATGGCAAAAATTTAAACTGATGTACAAAGAAAATATGTACAAGGAAAAGTTTAGCAAAACTTAAATTTGGGAAAGTCTTAAACTAATGGACAAAAGAAGAGTTAAGGAGATAGAGAAGACTCACTGTATTATTGGTAAATATAGAACCAGTCCAGCAATAAATAAGAAAAATCAAGTAGTGATGATTTAAAATATTGTCCCATAGTGGGTGATTCATAAAATTATCACCCAGGAGAGGGTGTAGGCTTCATGTAGAAAGCTAGTTCTACCAAACTGTATATCTTTGTACCAAACCTAGTCATAACATGTTTCTAAGAATTACTTTTGAATGCAGCATATAGGACTAGAGAGTTTTAGAAGTTTTATCCATTATTTCTCTTTATTATCAAAATGTATGTAGATCCAAACTAAGCAATTGCACTGTCTGAGCCTAGATTATGATGCAAAGCAATGATTGCTACCTGTACCTTCCACAAAGTAACATTTTGACTCCTAAGTGTGTGTGGCCTTTCCTATTTTGCTTACTGTGTCCTTATTTCAGTATTTATGGTCCTATATTTCACCATGTTATAAATGCAGCAAATGCTTTGGTAGCACTTTACAGACTAGGTACTTTTCTAAACACTTACATGTACTTCATTTAATCCACAAAGCATTTCTATTAGCCCCATTTCAAGATGAGGAAACTGAGGCACAGAGAAGTTAAGTACTGTGTCCACATCTCACAATTAATGAAGCCAGAATATGAACCTAGAAAATCTATCTCTGGGTCCCTGTAGAAATTCTAAATCACAGTACTATGTTACTACTTACACCAGCTAGTATTTCCTTTAGCACTCTCATACTAATATACCTTTATTTTGCACTTAAAACTTTTAAAAGCACTCTCATGTTCATTATATGAAACTAAAGGACTGTCACATCAGTTGGATGGATTTATCACCATGTCCACCTTGTGAAGCTGGCAGCAGAGAATCACCTCCGTGTTAGAACTGAGGAAACATTAAGTCATAGAACGTTAGGGGATTAGTACTCATCCGAACATCCAGTGGACGTGCACCACTGGGTTGGAATTGGGCTCTTTTGGTCCCATCCCCTCCTTTGTTAGAAAATGTCACTGTGAAGTATAAAGTCAACACAGCTAGGAAACACAGGAGGCATATTATGGTCTGCTTTTCTTTGTATTCTAATATTGTCCCCAAATATTAAAATGACCAAGCTTGCACTTCTATAAATTTCTGTTCTGGCTCACTGAAGTCTGAAAAATGTGTGATAAGATTTTCTACTTTCTATTCAATTCACTTACTTTTTTTTTAAACCCTATTTTCACCTTGGCCTTTCTCCAAAAGTATATGAAGACATTTATAACCTTTGGAAGCAAATATATAATAAAATCAAATCTTTTCAATTATGTTTTTAGATACGTAGCCAACACCAACGTTCCCATCCCAACACACTACTTCGTGGTGTTGACTAGTTGTAAAAATAAGAGCCACACCCCCGATGCCTGCCCTGGGTGGCTGGATGTCCTGTCCTTTATCATTCCTCACCGACCTACCAACGTGGAGAGCTGCCCTGTGAGTGTGCTCTGGGAATGTCCTCAGGACCGGGAACAATTAGGCTGGGGTCGTGTGAGCTTTCATAAGTGTGTTCCGACTGCAGTATAATTTTCAGGTGTTTCATGGGTAGAACTATAGTAAAAATGTCCTCATTTTAAAACTTTTCTTTAGACTAGTGAGCTCTAGGTAATTAGCATCAATTTAAATGTAGATATGTCTACGTGAACATGTGTTTATATATGCCTATAGCGTGTATGTTATTTATATACATTTTACTCATACTCACCAATGTAAGAGAGGGTGGTATCTTATCAACACTTTAATTCTGAACACAAATGTTAATGTTCTGTGCCAAAGTTGACACTAAATTAATGTTTCCTGAATGAATATGTAAACCTAAAAAGTCCATCAACTTGAAACAAGAAGTCTGAAATTTTATATACACACACACACACAAGCACAAAATAAGTAGAAGTAACATTCCTTTTTTTTCACATCATGTAATAGTCCACCTCAAAATCTTTTTGGATCAACACAAATGATATGTAGTTACTTCAAATTTCATTTATATTCTTTATAGAAAAAAAGTATGTATCCTGGACTGAAGTTATTCAACAAAGAATACTTATTAAAGGATAGTATCATGAAATCTCTTTAGAATGCACCAAGGAGGAATACATTTTCTCTGTTCTCAAGGAGTTCCTATATAACTTTGATATATAAATAAGATATATAAATGAATATAAATGAGGATAAATGAAATAAAGAACATAAATGGGTCATTCAATAACATAAGTAATTTTTTATAAATTAAAATAAAAGAAATGTCACAAAGTTGGAATTAATTGCCTAATCTGTTGTAAGGATTCAGTATTTCACATTCAAAACACATTTGGCTGGAATAATCATTAAAGGTTACATAAAATGAGGGGGAGTAATGCTGGTCCCTGAAGGATGGGCTGGATTTGAACACCTTGAGAGGATTAGGAAGAACCTTGGAAGAAGTAAAGAATGGAGAGGATTTGGAAAATAATTGGGTGCCAAGATCCAAAAGAAAAGAGGATTCAAAGATGAATCAGAGATTTTTAAATGTAGGCAATTAGGAAAAAGACAGAAAGAGGGAAGTTAGGAATGAGAACAATTTTAGCAGGTATGTAGGATAATTAAATTTAGGCATGTCAGGTTTGTAGAAATGGGCACTCACATGGAGGAATCCCACAGACTGTTAGAGACTGGAAATTAAAGCCTTATTTCTAGGCCAGATTGGGATCAACCTTATTCTTTCGGATGTTCAACAAATAACTGCCTTCACCATACTGTGCATTATGGGAGGTACACAGATAAATCAGACATGAATTCTATACAAATGGGCTCATACTCTTAGAAGCCTAGTAAAGTAAAAGAGGTAAGTGGGACAAGAGAGGCAAATAAAATTGATGCAGATTTCAAAGGAGATACACTTGCTGGCAGGAAAGGTGACATTCTAGCTGGGTCTTGTAGAAGATAGGATTTGAGCCTGAGTGTTCAAATGGTCTTTTTCACTCACTAAAAATGAAGGGCAAAGGTTAGGGGCTAACCAGTGTGTCATCTGTGGCCTCAGAGCGAGCAAGAATTTTTAAATAAGAACCTATTAGGAGATGTTTTCTAGTTAAATCTCTTCCTGCTTTTCTTGTCAGATTTTTATTTAGTTGAAATAAGGTTAAACCAACGTTCTTCACTTCCTCTTCCAGTGGCAGACAGTGGTGACTATTACCATGTGGTGCTCTTTACCGCTGAATCAGGGTTAAATAGTACTTAATCACAGAGGTTCTAGGTAGCTAGTATGGATTGATTAGAATGGGTATGCAAAGAAGAAACTTCGCTATCCCTGGCCTACGCCCTTATTTCCTTCTGTGAGGGCTTTTGGAAATTAATCTAAAGCAACTTCATTATCTCCTGTCCTCCCCTTCATTTCTACACAAAACTGCCAACTTACCTTAAAATTTAGTTTTTCATTATGACATACTTCCTCTTCCCAAAACATTGATTATCTATCCTGAATAATAATAATAATAAAAGCAAACAAAGTCTCCCAGCCTGTATTTAAACCTTCACAATTTACCCTCAGTTGACCTTGCAGAGCCAAGTTCCAGGCCAGCTGAAGTCTGGATATTACTTTAACACATCTTGAGTTTCCCTACTTCAACATCATTGCTCATGCTCTTCTGTTCTTTAACTTCTTCTCCATCTGTTAAAAATGCTACCTTCAATGCTAAAATTTCAAGGTAATGTACAAATAATATGAAACCTCCTTTCATCATCCAAAGGGGAGATGACCTCAGGATTAATAAGGCATCATCTCTATTGAATAAGACGTCATTACTAATGGATTGCACATTATCCAAGATTTTAAGAAATTTGCAGTATGGCATCTATAAAGATAATTACGGGCCATAATATAAGTATAAAGCAAACTTAAACCATGTTATGGTTTTAAGAGAGATTGTGAAGTTAATAAGATATTGCTGTCAATTAAATGTGAGGAAGGAGTGAGGCAGGATGAGAATCTAAAGTGACTGAAAATTTAGGCATGACTGGTCAGGAAATACATAAGACAATCATTGTTTTGGGAAGGATACATTTGCTGTTGGTGGTCCAGACTGAGAAACTAGTTGAATATCTGGAAGGATATATAAGAAGTAGTACCAATAGAACTTGATGACACCTTCTGTTTCCTTAACTGACTTGTGTTTTTTTCCATGGTGAAAAACCCTTGCATGGGTTTGAGATTTGGACATCATCGGTTCAGTTATTGAATTGGCTTGTTTGGGTAAATACTGAATGTCACTTTCTTCAACTGTGTAAAAATATTCACCTCCTCTCATGAAAGTTGTTGCGTGGATTAAATGAGCTATTTGATGTAAAATCCTAATCTCAACAACCAATTCTAGCCATTATAAAGAAATCAAACCTAGTGATGGGATTATAGTCTAAAGTCAACATTAAGTGAAATTTTGTACAGGTAAAACCCCCTCTAATCAAATCATCCAGAAAGTACAGTACAAACTGTACCTTAATAAATCCAGATCATCTAGTATTTCCACTAGCATTAGAACACTTTAAGCTCCCAGTGAAATAGTTGGCTTGCTTTAAGGGGCACACTGTATGAAAACTCTGCACTTTTAAGTATTTTAATCCCTCAGTGTGGAATTGGTACTCCCACTACAAGAGGATTGAGGGAACTGACACCAGTTGTAGAAATGATAGGGAAGGTTTCATTCTACCTCATACTTAATCTAGGGAACTAGATTAATTTTGCCTTACTTATTTTCTTCCTTCTTATTTTCCTTGCATCTTTACTGCCCTCCTTTTCATTTTTTCTTTTTTCACTTAACTTGGTATTGTTAAATTCCTGTCAGATCAATGAGAATATTGCCATGAGTCCAAGTGACTATTATTATTATAAAATAACCCAGCAAATATTGGAAAGTATGGCTATGGAACTTTGAAGAGAACTCAGAACTGTAGAGAAAGGGTTGGTATTAAATTGTGGGAGTGAAATAAAACTGCCAAAGCGAAGAAAGTGGAAAAGAAAGGTCCAAACATCAAATTGAGAGAAATGTCTATATTTTCAGGATGGAAAAAAAACTATAATCAGTTAAGGAAACAGAAGGTTTCATCAGACAAGTAAAGAGTTAGAGGTACAGGAGAAAAAGTAGGAAATTTCAGAAGTTTGAGGTGGTCAACTAAGTGGAAGTTCTAAACAAAATCCATTCAAGTAGTTGACCCCTAATAAAGCAGTTTCATTAGTACGGTAGCAGCAATAACTGGACTGTAAGTGGTTGACGGGAGAGAATAAGGAAGTGGGTGGGGAAAAAATGCTGAAACCGATATCACCTCAAAAAAACTAAGTGAGTTGTACTTTGGGAGAATATGATATTTCTAATTATGTAGCAGTTCTAATATATATATATATGCATATTCAAAAGCAAAAATTTAAATATAACTCATAAAGGCTGTCTCTACACAAGGCTGCCATTCAGTTGGCACATGCTGGTTAAGCTGGAGCAGTTGTCTATAGCTGGTTTCTGCTCAGATTGGTTGGTGCCTGTGAGCTACCTGGTATCAAAGAGCTTGAGTATTACCCCTGCCAAGGTAGAGTTATGGGTTCTCCTTTAAGATGATTTAGTTTCAGTCTTAAAAAAGGGTAGACCTAGTCAGGTGTTCAGTAAACATTTAGTTGAATGGATACCAAACCAACCAGGAAAGAGTAAAGTAATATAAGCCAAGTGGGAGAAGAGTTTATGAAAAAAGTGATCAAAATTATTAAATGTTGCTGAAATGTGAAATAGTAAAGACAGGGAAGAGAAAAAAAATGAATTGATCCCCATTGGAAACAGGGGCTCAAATTATAATACATTGCATATCAATTTCAAATAAATTTAACTCACACGATGAATCTCACTCAGAGAAATGCTTTAGTGGGTAGAAACAGAGTAATTTCCTCTCATGCTTCCTCTGGTTCAAATAATAAGCTGTCTACTTTAACCCTCATGTTTAAAAACCATGTAAACCACTGCGCTGAAGTCAAATGAGTTACTAACACACTTGTCTAAGTAAACTTTGAAACTTTCTTGCTTTTAAAAAACTAAAAAATTAGCATTATCATATGAACATCAGAAAATTAGTAAAGAATAAGGAATTTCATAAATCTATGGGTCTAAATTATTGAACTAACTTTTCTGCAGTAAAAAACTTCTTAAAAGTCAATGGCTAAGGGATATCTGAAAAGAGATACTTAACTATAATAATGCTCAGGGTAATAAAATTCAGCAATGATAAAACACTATTCCTGCCATGATTTGGCAAGGATGTGGGGAAGCAGGAATTATCCTCCATAACAATGGAGGTGTAGATTACTTTAAACCCTTTGAGGAGTCCTAGATTTAGTATCTGGTAAAGTTAAAGTTGCAGGTACTTTATGACCCAACAATTCCATTTATATATCCTTGCAACTCATGTTTTTGAACACAGGAGGCATGTGCCAAGTTCTTCATTACGGTATTAGTTATAATGCTAAAACTTGTATCCATGTGGCAATGAAAAAAAAAATAAACTGTGCTACCACAAACCACAGCTAAAAACAAATAATTTAAACCGATCTAGATATATAACTATGAACTGATTACAAACGTAAGACTGAATGAAAAAGTAATTATAGAAATCCAGTTCTATTATCATTTATACAAGCTTAAGAACTCATAAATCAATAGTGTATGTTGTATATTGATGTTCAGTAAAAATTCAAAAGCACAGACTGAATTCACACTGACTCATGATAATGATTTAACACTGAGTAGAACACTGGGGACTTAACCTCATCTGTAATATCTTATTTCTTTAAAAAATGTACATCTGAAGTAAATATAAAAATGGCTAAACTTTGGGATGGTTTCTATTTGTTATAGTATACTCTGTACTTTTTTTCTTTTTATGTTAGTAAACAACAAAATTTAGCTTTATCAAATTAAGATTTAAGGTAATAAATACTACAGGAAAAAGGACAACTTCTAAATAATAAAAGATCTTTATGTTAGTGAAATCATGCCCTATGAAAAATAGTCTGTAATTTCTCTTTTTCAGGAAAATAAACCAGAAGCTGTTTGGATTGAAGAAAGATTGAAAGCACACACTGCCCGGGTCCGCGATGTGGAACTTCTTACTGGGCTTGACCTTTATCAGGAAAAAGTACAGGCTGTCTCTGAAATTTTGCAACTAAAGACATATTTACCTACATTTGAAACCATTATTTAACTTAATATATAAAACAATTTTGGCAAGATATAAATGATTTTTCTGTTGGAGAATTACAAAATAAAGTTTTCTATTTTTCCTTAACTCCTCTCATAGTTTCCACCATTCCTTTCTCTTCTGAATTTCTATGAATGCACATCATTTTAGATACATTTTTTTTACACAAAGATTGTGCCTGTGCCATGTTATAACTTCCTTATTATACTTATTATCTCATTTATGATCTTTGCCTATATTTTTCTGTCCAGCTTTATTTAAACCTGAGAGATCTTTGGTATTGTCTAAAAAAATTTTTTTAGACACACATCTGTAATTTTCTAATCCAAGTGTGAGGTCAACTAAGGTCTGGGGAGCAGATTTGGAAAGGGGAAATTCTAAGTTGGCTTGTTTGTCAGCCTTAGTTAAAATTCTGGAAATTAATTTTCTCAATGAATTTATTTGTTTGTTTCTTTCTTTTTTTACCCTACAGGATTTTTAGTGCCATAGTTGGAAATTTCAGGGTCAATTCTTCTAGAAAATACCAAAAACAGATGAGTTTTTTTGAGCAAGTAAAAGAAGATGTGTGGAGATAAATAGGATATAAAGATGCACCTTTAGATGTGCCAAGAATTCATATTTAGCTATTAATTTATCTGGAATTTAGTATATGGATGTCTATCAATGTTTAGTATAATAATGTCCATCAGTGTCTGATCATTTTAGAATAAGCAGACGGAAATTCTAGAAGTGTACATTTATGCTGCTTTGTTGGGCTGATTTTGATACTATAAAGCCCATCTGTTTTTGGTACTTGAGTATATTTCCAAATTACATTTCAGTTCTTTGAAAATCCTCTTGCCCTAGGGAAATCTCTTTCCTTCCTCCACCTCCATCCCCACCCCTGCATCACCACTACCCCACCACCACTGCTTGTCATCTGTTTACTTTGGGAGGGCTGGGTATGGGAATGGAAACAGGACACAAATTGAAACAGTTTTCAAAAACACAAACAAGGCTCTTGGAAGAAACGACTTCCTTTTTACACAGCATCCTTGGCAGACCGCAATCACTCCCTCAATCAGTAGACTCAACGCTTGAACAAAGTTCCAGACAGGAACAAACCTCAGCCTTCCAATGAAGGAGAGTTTGTGCAATTCTGACTTGTCCCAAATGTACCGTATAAACATAGCTGGATAACAACTAGCATAATATGACTTAGAGGTAACCTGGTTCTGTTATCCTATGATATTTTGTTTTTCATAAATCTAGAAGAAATCTGGAGAGGCCAGTTCATCCATCTGTTAAGGCTCACTCCTCTAAATAATAATGTTCTCTCTCTAACGAATGAGTCAAAACCTTAAACAATTTTCCGTACTTCTTGAAATTAAGAAAATTTACCTAATGATTAGCATAGTGTTCTGTCTGTTTAATGTAATATCTAAAGTTTGTTTGTAGTAGTTTGTTAAGGAATCATCAGTTTTCATTTCAGTATAATGAAGCAACAGTGAACTGATATGAGCAAGTTCTAAAGTGACAGACACAAGGGTTTAAATCTTGGCATCCTAGCTCTGTGACCTGGAGCAGGTTCCTTAAACTCTACAGCTTAGTTTTCTCATTTGTAAAAGGGGTTCAAAGGGTAGGTATGAGCACTTACTTCATAGAGTTGTTGCTAGAATTCAGTGAGTTGCTAGATATAGAATGTGTGTATTAGAGGTTCTAACATGGTAGCATTACCATCCCTCAATCACGTAGAAAGCACTCCTTTTAAACTAACCAGGCAATTGCTTGCTTCACGTGGGCTTAGGCATAGTCTCAGTGACTCAAATTTGTGGATTGGTTGGGTTGATCTTTTCCCTGTGATTTGGAGGTTTGACTCCTATATTTCCTGCCAGGATGAGTTAGTCACATTAATAGCCCCCTCTATCATGGTTTGTGGTTGCCCTGATCTTTAAATTTGCCCTGCCTCTATTACAATTCCTATTCACTGGTTTAATCCAAGAATATTTTTATATGTTACAGCCACATTAGCAATTTAAAGGTTAGAAAAAGGGGAACCGTGGCATAGTTAATCCTGTTACTGTGGGATATTGGACCAAAGAAATGGTTTGGCCACCATGGCTCAAATCAACTGGCCTTGTCAGTAGATTCCTATATTTTGGCCACATCTGTCTGGATCTTACCTAATAAAATGGGCTTATTCTGTGGAGACTGCATTATCAACTATCACCTCAGATTCTGACTTCAACCTCTTACAGCATTTAAGCAGTTGAATCAAATCTTTAATCAATTATTTGATACTAAAAATCTTCATTTCTTAATGTCCCTTTGAATCTGGAACCAATTACCTTTTCTTAGTCATGCAACAATATGTCTTGCCTATTTAAGATCTCATTAAATCTACTTATTCAATTAATGTTTATTGAACTCCTACTATGTTTCAGGCACTGTTCTAAAGACTTTGGAAAATTGGTGCACAGACTTGGCAAAGATTCCTGCCCTTGAGAAGCTTATATTCTAGTGAGGAAGGCAAACAATAAATAATAAACAGTACAAATAAGAAAATTAAATTATTTGTGACTTATATAATTTACAATATATAAATGGATTTTTCAGTGAAACTATTTTGGAGTTTTGAAAACTTTCAGAGGCTTCTGTGTGCCAATTAAAATCAAAAGTGATACGTGCTACAGAAAAAAAAATAAAGCAGGGTAAAAAGGATCAGGCAAATGGGTTGAAGGGA